ATAAAATTGTACATTGAGTGCGCTCAGGGTGTGCTCATTCCCTACGTTGTTCGAGAATGGGATCCTCGGCAAGGACCAGGCTTTGATGACTTCGATTCTGCTTGAAGACAAAGTATGATACATCGATAGGCGTATGAGGTAAATACGCCTAGCACCAATGAACACCGTGCCTCTTAGCAAGCCCTAAACCCTAAATGGCCTCTTGTCTCTAACCATAAGCGTCTCACCAAGGCTTAACCTGCCGACCCATACATACACCAACACTGACACGCCCACAAATTGCCGAGACAAATACAATGGTGCATTTTTCCGCGTAGCTTCATGTGTCTCTAATTGTCGCCGTGAAATGCTTAGACAGAAATGGAAGTCTGTTTGGTTATGGTGTCGGTTTCCGGAGTCAATACATTTGAGCCAAAATTTTGGGAGCATATTTTTTTATTTCCATACACTTGAGGGTGCGCCAAATTTAAGGGCATGCTCCGCGTTCATTTGATGTTTAGACGCCTTCTTAGGACATGGTAGTCCTGTCCGCATGCAGGGGCGATTTAGTACATTCGCAACTCAAAAATAAGGGAAGCGCGACGAGCTCGTGACGATGCCGCGGTACCACCCACTGGCCGCGGCAACGCCCAACTTCAATTTCTGAAGGTTCTCTGGTGGTGCGGTTGTCCCGCTACCAGCTCTCTTCGTTTCGAGTGGTGATAAGGAGAAAAAGCTGGGACGAACAAGTGAAGGCTCGTCCGGTCCCGCCCTTTCTTTGCCCCATGATGCACGCAGTAGGGCGATTCAGCCGGGGTTCTATATGTGGCATTTCTAGCGTTTTTCTACTTTCTCTTAGCTTTTTTGTTTTGTGATTCGCGGAGCAGGAAGTACAGAGGGGAGAAACGACAGTAAACAACAACTTGAACAGTAGGTAGTATTCCTTTTTGAGAACACAGCAGGTTCCTGTATTACACCATGTGCAACACAGTACCGTTCCATCCCATTCCAGCTTCTAAGATTTGATTTTAAGGATTTCTAAGCGTACAGTTTAAACAATATGAAAACTGTACAAAATTCCTTCTCTTTCTAGGACAAAACCTGAGTTCCCCCCATGCCTGTGGTTACTGCGGAAATCGTTTCTACAACTCACATATCACTAAAGGCGACGATATGAAGATCGAACACTTGAACTGCTAGGATTATGTGTGATGTATGTAGGTGTCAGAATGTATACGATCATAAATAGAGGGAAATTATGTGTCGTTTGAAAGAGTTCTGTCAAATATCCATTTATCAGAAAGCTATAACAATATGAACTCGAAATACAACTCATCACGTTAAAAAACAGTAGTGACTTCGTATTTTTGTGCTTAGCTCTACTTTTACTGGACTGAACTGCTGAACAGTGTTCATAAAAAGAGCATAAAAAATAAGGTAACAAATGAATTTTTATAGTGTTACAGCGGTCCACGTTAACAGGATTTCCGGACTCAGCCAGAAGGTGACGTTCTATTCCGCACGAAGAAGCTGTCCTCGTGTGCGAATAAGAGCTGACGGCCCGACTGATCAGAACACAGCAAGTTCATACCTTTTGCGATTGTACGCCCAGTTTTCGAATCACTTAGGCAGGGTACTCATATTTATTTCGAGCAGAGCTTTGAAAATCGCAAAGGGAATGTTTGCTAACAACGAGCATGAGGAAGATCATCACATTGATACATAACATTTAAAAAAAACTAAAACAAACAAACATGATTATCTGACTAATGAGGTCGAGCAAACATAATTTTTCGGAAAATTCTACGTCAACACAACACTATATTGTTCAAAATCTCTGAGATGCAGTAGGCGTGGCTGCGTACTTGAACTGAATGTAGCGGTGGTCAAGGTTTTCGTGAGATACTTTTATGTTGGGATAGTTGTAATCATATGTTCAAACTGAAATATCCCGTGAGTAAACCCATCCTGTGCCAGGTCCAACTGCCACGCCCACTCCGTAACAGGGAAGGAGTGTAAATCGGTGACATGAAATAGAGGTACTGAACAAATACAAAAAAAACTGCTCTGTTAACACCAGCTGTATGTCTCTATGAATACATTCTCAACCATAGGAGGCAGGATCCCGTCGAAAAACATATCAATCACATTTATACTAAACAACTGCGATTTCTTATGCAGTATGCCGGAGTTGACCGGAATTCGGAAAGCGTGGCTTCTCGAAATGCGAAGCGTTGTCGTCTTTTAGGCTGCGTTTATACTTCGCGACTCGGCGTTATGCGAGGATCAGCGCTTTGAGCGAAAAGGAAACGTATCGATCGGCGTGGGCAATTACCCCGTTTGGGAAAATCAACTTTTTGAGAGAATAACCGTTTTGAAAGAGTAGACGTTCTGAGCAAATCAGCGCTATCGCGATGGTTTACGCCTACGCTGTCTTTTCCGCTCAAAACGCTGATTCTCAAAGACCGATACCTACACTTTCCACTTGGAAACGCCGATTCCAAGAGTATGAACGCAGCCTTAAGGGCGTGCGGGTACGCGTCACACTTTATCCGCGGCTCATTATCACTCACTATCATGTCGCTAGAAATTCGATTAACAGTTCGCATATGAGTAACCCGTTACGCAATAGCGTGCGCACTCCCACTGGCTTATCTGTGGCGCGCGCGACGTACGCTGTTGACACGTGCCCTTTTTTAGGTTTTTGATCTTATTAGTACCGCATGAAGTCACGATACTACCGTACCACTACTTGGCACAAAGAAGCGCTGCTTATGAAGTACACAGTGCGTTAACATACAGCTGGCGGGTTCATTTACTGACTGATCATACTTTCCTCGTACTACGATACCGATAACAACAACATGCATGAAATAACCATTTACCGTTTTCGAAACAACCTCTTTTTCTTGCACATATTCCATTCTGTCACTCTGTGTCGTATCCCCATTTATCCCGTCGGCTTTTACTTATTGGAAAGACATGATGCTTAATAGCTTCACCACAGGTTATTCGCTTCGCTGGTTCCAATATCAGCATTTGCTCCAAAAGTGAGCGGAATGAATGAACCTAAGAACATTAATTATGAATATTCAAATGAGAAAAGGAAACACATCTGACAGACCTGAGATATTCCATCACGGTCAAGATCTTGCTCTCCCAATAGTTCCAACTCCAAATTCCGAGTAATTCTTATGTTGGATAGAACTGTGACTAAAAAATTCGTCAACTGAACAGAACCCATGTCTCGCTTAGTGGTGGCTTCGTGAGTGGCTTTAATATTCTTGCCGCTGTCCTACGCGAAAGAGAGGCGTGGAAACCGATAAAGCGTCGGAAGGTGCGAAAACATAATGAATAAGCGAGATTCATTTATGTCCAACAGGAACGCCATTTTTTCAAATCATAATTGCAACGCATTTTCGGGAGCAGTTCAGTGGGGGGGGGAGGGGGAATTTTCCGCTTTCCATGCTTCATACAGTTTAACGGTTTACAGTTCACACTAAGTGAAACCTGTTAACGCCTGTTCGTAGCTGGAGGTAAAATTAAACAATTCTCGCCTAGCGTACCATGGTGAAACCTGTCAACCTTGGATCATGAATAACCTCTCCCCCCCCCCCCCCCCGCCGCCACCCCCCCCCCCCCCCAGATGTCCCAACACATCGAGGGAAGTAGCAAAAGTGCAAAATGCCTCCCACCCCGTCGCCGAACTGCGCCCAATTTTCTGCTCTCATCTGCGCTCTCTCCTTTAAGCAGCGTTTTGATCGATGACCTAGACACTTCATTATTCAAACTAGTACAGCAGTCCCCCCCCTAAGCCTGATAGGAACATCCCCGAATTCGCTATGTTCCGTCGCACCTTTTATGCTCTGACGTCACACTTCCCTATCTCTAGTATCACTTTCTTCGTTCGCGCGAGAATAGATGGCAGAAGGTCACGCAGTCATGTAACTCTCTGTGATCTTACCTTGTCTCGTTGGGTAACTTTGTCGACTTCATGGTAGAGGAGGTTGCAGTTGGCGTCGAAATGTTGATCGCGGAACTGAGCTCTTCGAACAAGCTTGTTCGGATACTTCCCTTTCACCTCTGTGAAAAGCTGCAAAGGAACAAGTGAAAATTAGGTCGAGGGAAGTATTTACCGCTGAAAAGTGAAGCATAATTCGTAATTTGACCACATTTTTGCTCTCCAACTTCGATAAGGAGCATCACGAGTAAGGCTTAAGCCCTGATTTTTTCCTTTAGTGATTTCAGCAAAGTTATGCCCTGATTTTCAGCAGTAAATACTTTTTCCACCCTGTACAAAACTCCCGACCAATGCTGCAACGTCTAGTGGGCGAAGACGCTTCTCTATCAAATGAGACAACATTCCACGATCTGGATCGATATACTCTTGTTAGAAGTTTTTCTTACATTGTGGAAAATTGTACTCAAACCTTCAAGATGCTCGAGGCATTGAAAACTTAGAATGGCGTCCATATAACTCTAATCCGAATATGTCCATCCGGAAAACATACAAATTTTGCAGCCATTTCATTTGGTAAAGCTTCAGGGCACTTGTAATTCGATACATGTGGGTTGAACATCAGCGTTGAACACTTTAGCAAACGCCATGTCAAGTGAAAGGTGCGTGTTTTCTGCCAAGGTGGGAGGCCTTAGGCAGCGACGCGCCTAGACTTCGCGATGACGCGCTGTAACGCGCGCCGATGCGCTACCACTGGAAGGACGCACCAAAGCTATGGATGCGAACGCAGCCGCAGAGGGGGGGGGAATCGATCGGCTCTGACCGCTTACCCTTTCAGAGAGTATAGGATAACAGGAGGGCAGACCGTGCCTTCAGACAATCTGACACCCTCCTGTTACCTCATACTCTCTCGTAACGGTCACGACCAGCGCCTACTGATTCTCGTCTGCAGCCGCATTCGAGTTTATAGCACTGGGGCGCCCTTGCAGTGGTAGCACGTCGACGCGCGTCATAGGTGAAGTCTGAACCTTGCATAAGGTTTCATTCTGCTCGAAATTCAAGTATTTTGAAGGAAGACACCTCAAAAGGCGGGTAAAAGACCCGAATTATTATGGAAAAAGAGAATAAGCATCCGTTTTCATCACCAGAACCCGCACCTCACTGGCATGATTTTTGCCAAAGTGTATGGTTAGTTGACAAAAACACGCAACCTATCCCGTATCACGACTGTAAAACGCCTAAATTGAATGAGCGGTAGCTAATTCCGCTTATATCGGACCCGAACTTAGCAAATATTACATGAATTTCATTGAAAAAACTATCTGAGCAGCTGAACATGAGCTGTTATTTCACTTGTGTTATGAGATCCTTCGGGAGCTTCCCATCAACGTCTGTCAAAATTGAAGTCTCCGTAGAGTCGACCACTTATTCAATCTGACGTTTTGCAGCCGTGATTTGTTTTTTGGCAAACACTGTTTTTAACAGATTGTGAGATTTTAAAAGAGGCAATAAAATCAGGCTTACACACACCTTAAGCATGTGGTTGTTGCTTTTTCCTGGGAACATGATTTTTCCCGTGTAAACTTCATAAATAGTCACTGCGATAGACCACAAATCAATACCATAATCATGAGGAATACCCAACACTGGAAAGATACTGTTAAGCTGATCATCAACGACACATTTCTCAACTATAAATCGTAAGTGGTTTGGCCTGGATTCGAATTCGTAGGTGCGAATCGGTTTACCACTGGGGTACTGTTCACAGTCTGTGACCCTGACAAATCGGAGAAAGAAACGGTTTTGGAAAAC